CTTTCATCCTTCTTTTTATTAATCAATTATTTCATTCTTTTTCCTTTTTTTATCCATTTTTTATTTCGTTCTTTCGTTTATTGTTTTATTATTTTCTTTCTTTTTTCATTCTTTCGTTATAGTTATTTTTCTTTTTCGTTCATTCTTTCCCCTTATTTTTACAATCTGCTACCTCATCACTGACACTCGACACAAGCAAGATAAGATTCACATTTTTTCTTAAATTAAATTATTCTATTAGGTGGCCTTCCTGTGGTGCAAACTTTTTGATTTGGCGAATACGAAAAAATTTCTCATCCACTTGAATAAAAAGAAGAGGGAAGAAGAAGAAAGAAAGAAAAGGCAAAAACTTCTTTCAAAAGAAAATAAACAACCCTATCTTGTCGAACCAGTTTCTTATCTTAGCCCTAGGTATAGATTAATTTCCTTAAATTCATTTCCTTTTTCGCTGGTGTATTGATTTTACCTCTGGCGCTAGAATTATTTAATTAAGCTTCAGGTTCCTGATATGTAGAAATTGTTTAGTGATTTTTAACTTTAGCACTAACTTTTCGTACTCTCAACCAACACATTAGTTTTCTTCTTTTATTTGTGAGATATCAGCTGTTACCTGACTTAGATCAGCCTAGAGGTTGTTTCAGGGTTCAATCTGTGAGCTAGCCATGCCCTGACATAGATAAGCCCAGAGGTTGTTTCAGGGTTCAATCTGTGAGCTAGCCATGCTCTGACTTAGATGAGCTCGGGGTTTTTCAGGGTTCAATCTGTGCGTTAGCAGTGCTCTGACTTAAGTTAGCCTGAAGATTGTTTCATGGTTCGAAAAATTTGAAGGTTTAGTAAAAGATATTTAAAATGTCATTTTTCAAATTCATCGTAATTAAATTTCAATTTTAAACTCCCCTTCCTCCTTTGAATTAATATGATTGATTGATATAACGATATGCTGATCGACGCCCGCGAATAGGTAGGTTATTTACATGTCAAACAGTTGAGTAATGCTAGCGATTTTAATGTGTTCAGCTCTGTTCATTCTACCATGGTGGGAACCACGAAATAAGGTATCTACCAAGAAAATGTGACTGTTATTCTCAGTTTCATAGGTAAATATTGAAGTATTTCTAATTTCTATTTCATCACTGGTCTTTAATTTTTGCGTTTTTTT